ATGAATAGATTAATAACAGAAAACACGAGAAAACCTACTATTATAACTGGCAAATATTTTGGTACAGAACATGATATCACTGCTTATGAAACTCTTAGATAGATTAATCCGTATTTGTTAAATTTCACTTGGAACGTAATAGCTAATTATCTACTTGATAATAATCATATTGAAACAATAATGCTTATAAATGACCCAGTATATTCGAAGATTACAATGGATCTGTGTACAAAGTTCCTAGAAAATGTTGCTGAATCGTAACTTTAGATAAAATTCAAATTCACCATAGACATAGTCATATAGAGTATACTCTTTGCAATGTGCTACTGAACCAGTTTTCTTGTAAAGTAATATTTTTGTTGCTATTTATAATTTGAAAACTTGATAAAAGAGAGTGTGATAGGAGAAAACTTGAATACTCTAAGCACAGAATTAAAAAATATTGAAAAGTCAAAAGTAAAAAACTAACAAAACTTTGACAATAAGTCTCAATCGGAAACAAAATTACTCAAGGCCAAGTACGACAAGACATCTATCGAAAACACATGAACTTAAAAGAAAATGATGACAGAATAGCTATTGTTACTGAAGAAATAAATGATGTTGATTTAAAAGTAGTCACGGTCAAAGAAATAAATGAAGAATCTAATCCCCCCAAGAATGCTTGTTCTGCATTATTAGTAGGAATTAAGAGCGTTCAGACTAGAATGTATTATTTATAACAGTTGAAACAACATTAGAATCTAATTACTTAAATAACCTATTACAACAGTATAAACTAAACACTAAGTTTTAATATCTAGGTTCTGAAACTTATTTATCTTAAAATTATTAGGATTTTGTATGTGTGATATATCTTGTGGGTGAGATGAGGAATATGAAATTGTTGTAACATAACGATTTTCGATAGCTGAAATAAACAGCTGAGTAGTTGCTATTCACTTAACATTATCCATATTGTGTACATAATCTTCATCATTGGACTAAAATGGTTTTTGCACGTTCCTCCATAATCCTAAAATCAAAGAAACTGTTACAAATGTCCGCCCACCGTCGAACGCTCACAAAGTACTTACGTTATCAAACATCACAATACCACATTTTGTTGATGTGGATTAATTTTGAGCTGGCCTTTGGTATTTGTAATTTCAGCACCAATCCATTTTCTTCTTCCTATATCTCATGACCAGATGATTTTCACCTCTCTTCTCTAAGTAATTAGTTTCTAATGTGGTTTCTGCTGTTATAAATAATACACATTAGTCTGAAGGCTCTTAATTCGTTCTTGTAATGTAGAACAAGCATTCTTGGGGGGATTAGATTCTTCTTTTATTTCTTTGACTTAGACTACTTATAAATCAACATAATTTATTTCTTCAGTAACAACAGCCATTTTGTCATCATTTTCTTTTAAATTCATGTGTTTTCGATAGCGGTCTTGTCGTACTTGGCCTTAGGTAATTTTGTTTCCGATTGAGACTTATTGTCAAAGTTTTGTTAGTTTTTTACTTTTGACTTTTCAATATTTTTTAATTCTGTGCTTAGAGTATTCAAGTTTTCTCCAATCACACTCTCTTTTATCAAGTTTTCAAATTATAAATAGCAACAAAAATATTACTTTACAAGAAAACTGGTTCAGTAGCACTTTGCAAAGAGTATACTCTATATGACTGTCTATGGTGAATTTGAATTTTATCTAAAGTTTCGATTCAGCAACAATTTCTAGGAACTTTGTACACAGATCCATTGTAATCTTCGGATATACTGGGTCATCTATAAGCATTATTGTTTCAATATGGTTATTATCAAGTAGATAATTAGCTATTACATTCCAAGTGAAATTTAACAAATACGGATTAATCTATCTAGAGTTTCATAAGCAGTGATATCATGTTCTGTACCAAAATGTTTGCCAGTTATAATAGTAGGTTTTCTCGTGTTTTCTGTTATTAATCTATTCATTATTAATTGAAAAAATTCATTATCAGTGAATTTCTCAACTAAAAGTGTTCTTAAAACCTCTCTACTTACGAAGCTTACTATTGAACACGACTATTTGTCATGGTTTATTTAAATGTATTTCAAAATAGGAGCTGTTTTTATAAGACTTTGTATAAATTCCTTTCGATTGCAATTATAGTGTGTACTTGTTCAATCCGGTTTCAATGAAAACTCATCCTGTTATTTTGTTCACACATATTGTCAATATTTCTGTCAAGTTAATCTATTTTTTCCTTGGAAATGAGTAATCATTCTTTAAACGTCCAATTATGTGCTCCAAGTCATCAACTGATTTTTGTGGAGTTTGCTGCTGCTCCATAGTAGTTTGAAATGCTGCATCTACTGCCGAACAATTTTTCTCATAGATAAATGATTTGACAGAACCTTAAGAATACACACAAAACATAAATCCATTATTATGTTATTATTGATAAATTTAAAAATAGCTAATGCAATATATTCTTACTTTGGCTTAATTTAAGTTTTGAATTTATGATTGATGTGTAAATTAATAGTGATTTCCAAGTTCAATTGTGTATTGTATAATTTCTGAAAAATAAATAATTTATAATAATAGCCATCATTGAATACTTAACAGTGGTTCATAAATGGGCAATGATTTTTTTATTTTTCATTAGTTTTTTAAATTTCAAAAAATATTTCAAACTAAAAATAAAAAAGACAATTTTTTAACTATACATGTTACAAGAATAATTGCTTTATATAGTTTTGAGAATTTAGAAATTTATAAAAAAAATCTTATATAATTGAATCTTAATCTGGACTTTGTTGGCAATTAGATACTATGTATGTACTCAACACTTTGAGTATAGTTCTAATCATTGAAGTAAGTAGATGTTTTGGGTTTTTAGTCATTTAATTTTTGTATTCTCCAAAAATCCAAATATCATTCTGATATTTTATCTGGATGATTTTAATGGGTTGGTCACATTTAGTATCAACAAAGGTATAATTGAAAATACTTATATTTTTTAATTATTGAAATATCTAAGATATTTAAAATTGTAATTAATTAGAACCTCTCCCCCCCCACTCTGTGTCCCAAACCTGTATTTTATATTTTAAATGATTTAAATACTACAATAACAACATTGAACTATATACAATTAGAAACTATTTAATTTTATTGGTTTATAAATAATTAAGTAATTAATTTTTAGCTTACATTAATAAAATATGACATTCACATTACACAGTACATATAATATATATAACATGCAGTTGGGGTAGTACAAATATTAAATATTAAACATGAGTACGTATTTAAGCTAATGGTTGTATGGAAGAACTGTGTAATTGTGAAACAATTTTAATATCACAAATTTATTTAAGATTTCTACAAAAACTACACACTCATCTAAATATCTTATTAATTTATGGCAATTTTGCTTTTGTCCACCAAATTGGAACCTAAACTCTTAATGGTTTGAAAAAGTCATGGAGATAAAGTAGAAAACACCTTTATCCAGAAAATTGAAAATTTAAGCGAATTTACGCATGAATCAACTGACCCAATCAATGATCCATTGCATACTTATACAGTAAATGTGCGTAATATTATATTTGACTCAGTCATCCAACATATAAGTTAGTAAGTTTTGAAAAAGAAACATATTTATAAGCTTAATATAATATAATTTTGTGTTGACCAACCTTTACCAGCGTATTCACTAAAAAGTATCCATTTAAGCCAAATATATCTCATGTACCATTTTGTTTTAAAGTATAATTACTTGACAAAAATTAAAAAGAAATTGAGTAAGGGATGAATATGAGGAAAATATTAAAATAGAGTCAGATAGAGAAGATAAGGCATATATGCTTAAACTATAAAAGAATTGGTAGTAATACCTCTAGTTAATTTATAACATTTTATTCTTTATAGAATAAAATTATATAGACAATGAAAAATGTTCTCACAATGTTGTATGGTTTCATTTAAATATAATAAAATGAGAGATAGAAGATACACATATTTTATAAATGAAATGTGAACGAAACGGGTATACAATTTTCGAGGCCCTTGAATTTGGTTTCCGGTTACAGAAAATAGACCTATCTGCCACAGGCTGTCTCAAATGAAAATATAGCAGAATGTACATTCTGAATATTATATTTAACCATATTGTTCAGTATTAGAGTGAATTGTCGTATTATCAAATTTTCTACTAGTAGTTTTTATATATTCAGTTCAATACTAGTACATTTTAAAATGAGCATAACTCCATTTAAAATTTAAATTAAAAAAATAATAAATGATATTTAAGTGAATTATATGTTATTATTTACAAAAGAAACGGTAATAATTTAAATTCATTGTTAAAACATTTGAAAGAATTGTATAATGGTTACACCGTTCAAAGGTATCATTTGTAAAATATTATAAAAAATTTACAGTTGTTAAAAGTAGCATGCACAAATAATAAGTAACACTGTTTGAATAATAATTTTTTTTTTTTTTTGAGTAATTATTAGTAAAACTCTGGAATTTCAAAAAGAAATTCAGATAGCTAATGCTAAAAGAAAAATAAAACCTATTGTAATATCCATCAAATTTCAAGTATACAGTATATATATAGTAGGGCAGAGAACTTGTAACCATTTAAATGTAACAAATATGCATTTGAATACTCACAATAAGTATTTATATGCAAAATAAAAAATACACAGAATATTCTTTTTAAAAATGAAATCAAGAATATTTTATTTATTTTATTTAAATTAATTTATAATTTTGAACCAGTTTTATTTGTTCCATAATTTCCAACTTTAAGTATTGCATTTTATTATAATTCATAAAATCATTCTTCTAGGAAAAATTGGCCCTGGGGCTAGTCGAAAACTATACTATACGACAAAAATCAAAAATTCAAAAATAATTTTATTTAAGGTTGTATTATTTAAAATAAAAATGTTAGTGGAGAACAAATTGATAAAATTATTAACTGCATTAAAAATATGTCTCAAAAAGTATAAAATCGATGAAATATGCTCTGAATACAAAATAAATCATTAATATGTAAAATAAAATTTTAAAATTAACTCTATGAGAGCATGAAACCAATTGGTTTATTGTATTTTGCTATCGTTGTGACTGTGTAAAACAAATATGCAAATGCTACAAGTCCTGTGCTCTAGTGATTAGTAATTCTATAACATTTTGAAACCATGATTTTCATTACCATAAAAGTTAAAAGGTTTTACATTTTTTTGAACAAAATGAATTATTTTAAAGTTATAATAATATTTATAATAGAAATCGACCAAATATTTGTCTTATAGGTAGTGTGTATAGTATAGACTTGATAGTATTGGGTAAATTACTTTTGAAATTTAATAAAATTACGTTACGTTAATTTTTTGTATTTAAATTGCATTCACATTAACTAACATGATTTTTTCATTCAAAAAGTAGGGTGATAGAAATAAAGTTACTGTAAAAAAGTATATGTAACAAAATCAGTCAATAATGATTAATGACTAATAAGGACGTGGTAATAACTTGTAAGTAATTATATAAATTATATTTTATCGGTTTTTGGTTTGTCAGTTTTATTCAGTACGCTATAATACAAATTATCATACTATGAAAAGTCGCTCGCCATCAATTTACTCGCCATAAATTGACCGCTATCAACTATCCGCTATCTATTGACTGGATACCAGAATTACTATCAATTTATTAGTGTATACCGCCGTAACGGCGAGCGCTATTTTCTGCGTCCCGTATCATTAACACGAGAGTTGTCTCACTAGTCACTATTGGTAACTTACTGTCGCAAATGCATAATACTCATCAATAGTTATTTCTCATTTTCTCTCTTGTGCTTTGTATTAGTGAGTTGTGCACTTGTGCGTTTTAGGAATATTAAAAACAAAAAAAAAATCCAAAATGATAATCCTCAAAAAAGTAAGTATTAACACTATTAATTTATAAAATTCAGCAGATTAATAAACTACAATTATTCTAATTTAATATAACTTAGAACCTAACTTATTTATGTAATATATTGACAAACTACGGAAACGAAATAAAATTTTTTATTGAAATTCGCAGTAGCGTCCCTAGATGTTGTGATTTTTTCGATACGGCGTTGGCTTCAATCCGGTCTGTTAACGTGTTTTATTTCAATCTCGAACGTGATCGTTGGCTTCATAAGTCCCTACCTATGTCTCGTAAAACATTCTGCATTTTGAAAATAGCATTAGGCTTACGTATCCATCACGGTCGTTATGTAGAAAGTACCAGAAGTGGTGATACATTTCATAAGACTATTTACCTCGAACCTGAAGTTTGTCACCATCATGAACCCAGCTCAATACTGTGACAATTATGATTATCATTAAGGTTTATTATGTTTGGCACAATAAGTTGACTGACTTCTGAAGACTAACCTATTTTATTAGTTAATAATTGTGTGAATCATAGAAATCAAATATGGATTATGTACAAAAAAGTGTTACCTCTTATTAAGTAGTTTAATGTTACCTACTAGAGTTATAGTATAAATTATACTATGATTAGAAAATTTTATTATAAGCATTTAGTGAATATTTTGAGACTTAGAGTACTATTTGTACTATACTATATTATATGTACTACACTTGTACTACTATATTTAAGATTATTTTTTTCTGTTGAATTTGAGTTTTTGAGTATAGATGTCAGATAAGGAGTGCATAATCAATATAAGAACGGAAAATTGACTGATAAGAAGTTTTTAATGCAGATTCATTGAGATTTCATGTATGATTGACGAATTAAATTAAATTTTATTATAGTAAATAATATTTATTAAAATAATTGATATAACGACCCTAAAAAATTGGCAATTATATCACATTAGAATATTTGTGGGTACCTATAATTCATTATGCAAACTATACAATTTGTGTCCTTCGAACAACTACACATTGTAGCCTTCACAATGTATGGTACCGAACTCGCATTGTGATTTGTGATATGTGCTTAGAATTTCGGACATTGTAAGTATTAAGTTAGATATACCCTTGGTTTCCTAGTTAAGTGCTCATGTTTTCCTTTTGAAAATTACATGAAGTTTTTAAAAAAATGGTTAAGAAACATATTGAGAAACCTTCAGAGCAAGTAATCAACAGTTTTCAAGCATTTATACAATTTAATGAATCTAAATTAAATGAAAATTTGAATGGGAATATAGTATACAAAAAAAATAGATATTAGAAATTAGATAATGATTCCTGTGATTAGTAATTACTTTGTTCTTTTTTTAATGTTAATATAACGTTATTTACTTACATACCTATAGTATATATAAAAATATGATGTATCTGTTAATACTATGGGTAATATATGAATTTTTAATGTAGGTAAATTACAAAAAATATAAAGCCATGATCATTTATTCTGTTGTTTATTTTTATGTTTATATTTATATATATTATTATTTATTTTTTGTGTTAAATTATCTTGTTACATAGATCATTATCATAATACATTTTTATATATTTACTAATGAAAATTAAGTATTTATGAAATGTTGGTATCTGATATTAATTTCATATCCAATTTTAACAATTATTATTGTAAAAGGGTTCAAACAATATTTATTATGTATTTTGAAATATTTTGAAATCCATAAACTATAGAAACTAAACATTAATTACATTTTAAATAAACGTTAAAAAAATATTTATTCAATGTAAGTTCCAAATATTAATCGTGAGATGCAAAATGGTTCAAACAATGTTTATTATAATTAAATTAATATTTAAAAACTTATGACCAAAGGAAATTTAACATTAACACAGTATATAATTTTTTTTTAAATATTTATTAAAAATATTGAATAGATATATATGTGCTCTGTGGGATAATATAAAGAGCATTAAATACTTAATGATACTGTTACCATTATAATGCAGGTTTATAGTTTTCATAAAATATTGTTTCTGACATTAAGGTAAAGCGATTTAATGTGATTGAAACATTTTTCTAATTTGTCTACATACACACTGTATATTATGATATTGGGACGTAACTTTCAAGTTAATGTGCACTTAGTAAGACTGTACTCACTCGTTATTAACATTATGGGTGAACTCGTCAGATGAATCGGGAATTTGATCGTCCATCGTTCGACTGCATGTTTGGTTTTAGCAATGTTCTGAGTAATCGTTTAAGACTACGAAGGCTGCAGTTTTAAAAAGAGTTGACCTTAGAAGATGACAAGCGGGATATAAACGAGTGTAATGTATAGACTGTAATATCTCCTTACATTATTCTGAAATATCAATAATTTTAAATTTTAAAACCACAATGTAATATTTCCATGTCAATAACAAGTAAAAACAAATCCACAGTTTCTAGCACGTGTAATACTTACATTATTTTAGGGTGGTTGATGTTGAGACGAGTCAAGCGTCACATGACAAATAAAAAGTAGTCTGAGAGCGGAGAAATCGAGTTGTCCGCACGACGCAATGGCGACGTTGTACACGTCGCGGGACGAGAAAAATGCCAGGGTGGAACTCGGCGTCGCAAGGAGCTTGTATGTCAAGGAGTATAAACATAAATCATAGGAATCGCGGATGTTTCTTCCACGTCAATAAGATACGACGTTTGGTTAAAAATAAAAAATAATACGATTTAAATTAGGAATTAACTATATGAAAAAAGAATTCAAAGGCAATTGCATAATTATTTATTTTTCGATACTTCAATCGCTTTTTATTCTAAATTTAAAATGTCAATATCATATTAAAATTATGGAGGTACGTCTATAACTCCCTGGGGTAAACTGTCCCAGCTTAACAATTGAAGGGGACAAAACGACTGTTTACACAGTTGATACTGTCGTGAGTTAACCCGGTTTATAATATAAATGAATTATAGGACTAAATGGCATTATAAGACTAGAAACACAGTCAGCGAACCGGTCTGCTATCTCTACCTTCTTCAAAACAACTGATAACAAAATAGAAAACTACATTTTGGTTTTTGCCTTTTGGTAAATTTTCATAATTTTTAATTACTTATTATATTCAATTGTAAATACCAAATTGTATGTTTGTAACACACTCATAACTAAATATATTCTTAAAGTTTATAGTATTTACTTGTTGTTATAGAGTTCATATTATAAAGCATCTTTTTAAATATTTACTCTGATTTGAAAGATTTACATTTTTATTTAACAATTTGGATTACACAGTCGGCTACTGAGGAGAAGGTAATAATTTTTAATTACAATCAGTTTTCATAATCCGCTCCACTTAACCATTTTTACAATATTGAAGTTTGAAAAAATAAAACAAAACCTTTAATGACGACTCGCTCACCGATACCAGACAATTGTTGAGTACCTATGAATCACTTGAGACTAACTTTTTAGTTTTTTGTGAATATTGTTGGTATGACAAAATATTTGACATTTTTCTTACAGAGTTGTTTATGCAGAGTAGAACCTACTCTGTAAATTCATTGCCGCAATTCATGCTGTAAAGTAAAGAGCAAGACACCAGAAACAGCCAAATCACGCTATTCACTACTCTTCGAGATTTCACAATATTATTAAGCTCCAGGCCAATTGTCATTTTTAAGGGGTGGTGTTTAAGCAATTATTTCGTTCCTCACTGCCAGTGATCGTCTTTTTGAGTGTAGTAAATTATCATTAGTTTGTGCATACTCTCCACCAAGAGCCAGCATAATACATATTACGCACCTGCATTCACGTCATGTAATTTAGCCATTAGATCATAATATTCAAAATATTTTTGTCGACATGTATTAGTTACACGCATGAAAAAAACAAAATGTAAGTACACCCAATAATGTCTGATTTTAAAAATGTTAATATTTTTGAATGGATAAACAAGATTACATTGCGAGCACAGTTTTATGACTATTCACCACTTTTCGATCTCGCAATATTTTAAGGCCCAAATACACGATATAAAATGATAAAAAATAATATGAAAATACTGGTGATTTGCGAATAACAACATAAACAATAAACAAACACTATTGATTAGCACCTACGATATGATAATTTAATAAATAATTATATCTTATATATAGTTATGCATTTCTAATGACTTATCAAGTAGGAATTTTTTTTTAAAATTCAATCTTTCATATAAAAAGCAAATGTTTGGAGGAAATTCCAAGTATCGACGATCGTTTGTTTTTGAATTATAACAAATTTCAAAGAATGATTTATGACAAATCGTTAATTTACAATTGAATATCCAATGTTGTATAATTAATTTTTCATTATTAGTCATAATAAAAGTCATATACAGTTACTGTGTATACTAAATCCGGTCTTTAATTACAACTACACATCACTCTACTTTCACATCAGAAACAAAATATTAATTCTTTAATTTATCGAAGTGTCGAAGTGTACTTACGTTCACTACATACAAAATGAAAGGAATATATAGAAACAGCCACGACTGTCAAAGAGCCAGCTCTGATTCTGACTATACAATGATGATAAAGTGTCCAGTACAAAACATCATCAATCATTACCGCTGCAATCACAGCCACCACAGTCTTCATCATCGATATCAGCATTGTTAAGATCGGGGTAATTACAATGCTCGGAGGGAATACTAATTAGAAAATATTGTGTCTGAACCGCAATTCAATCGACTTTTTTCTTCTCGCATTTTTCTCGTTGGTTCAAATTTTAACTGTTATTGGGTGTTGGTAGTGTGCATTAACCAACATTGCGTGATGATTTATTAATAGAACATTTACATGCTGTTATTCGGTCGAGGAATGTGGAACGGAGGGGACGACGATTCCATGGGTCGAGTTAATTACAATAATGGTAATAAGCACATAAAAAATCAGAAAATATTGTGTCCGAAATGCATTACACATGACATTTTTTTCGTTTATTTTAGCATACAGCATAATTTTCATCTACTATACAGTTCGGATAAAATATTTGAAGGCTAAAATAAAAGTTAATGTTGTTGTGTGCGTAATCTCAAAGGCTACAAAGCCGTAAGCTTTTGGGAGAAATCAAACAAGTAAAAAATTGAACTGAAGAATAACGTATATTAAGAAGAAAATATGGCAAGTGTATAAATAATAGCCTATGTGCGTGTGACGAGAAGTTGCTCTGGCCTCAATCGCTATGATACATCTGTCCAGGTTGTACCACGAGATCCCGTATAAGTGGTGGTGGTTCATTCACCTGCATGAATGTTTATAACATAATAGTCAACTTATGATTTGTATTCTTCATTTTGTAATTTACAATGAAAAAATATTGTAACATTTGATTTTCATACCACAATTATGCATATATTTTACATCATGTTTGTTTTGAAATTTACTTTATTTTTCATTGTTGTTGGTGGCACTTTTAAAACATAAATATTTAATACATTTTGTGTGAAAGCAATCATTGTAAACACCTGAAAAATATTTTATCTAATAATTCTGTGAAATATGGTAATATTTCACTATTTAAAAGTATGAAAAAAACTAGATACCTACTGTTAGAATGTTTTATTTTTCAAACA